ATGTTTGTCAAAGTTATTCTTTCGACATTTGTTCGCGTGATCCCGCTTTATGAAAATACTAGTTATACGATATCTTCACTTGCCCTCACTTTGATTCACATGGCTATCATTATCTATGTTACAAAATTGAGTCATCAAGGAATCAAAAATCCTAAATACAATAAATAAATCTAATGTGAGAGCTGGGGAATAGCATTTCTCTCATAGTTTTGTTATCTGCGTGCAAGACTGCACGATAAGAAAATAGTTAAAATAACGTGAATAATATACATAATATTTCTTGGGTCAACAATAAGGAATAATGCAGGTTTACCTCCGTAGGTTGTAATAGTATCACATCTGACGCTGAGTGACATACCAACCAGTAATAATTACATTTCCGATATATAGCGTGCTCAGAAATCCCGCACATTTGCTGAAACCACAAGTGTGATAATATTCAATTTAGATAACTTACCTTGTAGATCTTGGGTCAGCAATAATGTAGAAGACAGGTACAACTCAGAGGGTTGTAACAATATCGTATGAGGAGGTACACATCAATCAATGATCATTCCATTCCATATGAAACAATTAGAATTCCGGCACGTTCTTCGACACCACAAATGCCATATGCAATGGCTGCGTTAGGTTTATCAGTTTAGCGGATTAGCGCTTTCTTTCTTTGTTTCATCATGCTCCTAACTCATCCAAGATCTTAATTCAGTAATTCACTCCACAAATTTGAGTGGCCTATCAGGTTTGCACTTAGAGAGAGAACAGCCCACTCTTCTCTTATTCTACTCTACCCACAAACACTTTTTTGAACTCACAAAAGTAATCAAAGTCCCCAAAATACTCGTAAAACTTAAAAGATAAGTAATGAAAGTTGCCCAAGAGAAATTTTCAATGCGTTTCAGTCGCCAAAATTTGAATGTGGATATCTTTTTTTATCCGCAGATAAGCTATTTCGGGTACAGTAACCGCTAATCATTGTTCATCCTGGCAATTTCTTGAGCATCTTTGTCTTATTTCAAGGTGAATGATTAGCAGCAATAATAAAGAGGGAAATTTACATAATCAACTCACTTGGTAAAACTAAATTTATCTGGTAGCATCCCCTACCGACGCAGCGCAACAATATCTCCAGAAACGTACCTCCTTTATCCATTTTAGTTTGTCAATGTTATTTTTTCTTTTTTTTTTTTTTTTTTTTTTTTTAATTCTTTTTCTATTTCACCGCTATTAGTAATGTCGCCGGGTTATCTTACTTATTTCCCATCTGTGTCAATAAAAATGAAATTAACGTCGTTGTTGTGAATAAGTCAATTTATGTAGACTTTCCAAGCATAGTAATGAGTACATTTGCCAGGCTAAGAACAATTAAAGTTCCCTTTTTTTGAGATTTTAATCAAAATCGAATACTAAATACAAAATACAAAAGTTTGAATGATAGTTTGACCGTGGAAGGCATGCCCTTTCTTTTGATGTTACGGAAACCGGTGTTTTGCACATCTTAATATTATTGCATGAACTTGCACTGATAAATGATGACAAAAAAAAGATTTTGTTTTGAAAGTTGGCCTTAGTTTGAATTCATAACGTTTCTTTAATTTTTATAATAATAATCGGTTTTGTCCGACGCCGAAATGTCGATGTCCACTACGTCCGGTGGTTTCAACGCGTTCATTAATAGCTGATGTTTTGTCAAATGCAGTCTTCAGACTTTGGAAAGCGGAAAGAATCACTTGAACCGCTCCGAAAACTTTAAAGTAAATTACGTTGTGGTGATTTGGGGCTGTTTCTCTCTTCCGTTGTTTAAAAAAAAAAAATCCCTTGTATTGTAGCCAAACGCGTGAAAAAATGTATCGAAACTATTTGAACATTTTCCTTTCGATCCTAAGTAGTTTCCCGGGCAGTCAGAAATTTTTGAACCAGACAAAAATGTTTTGTGACAGGCATTAAGTGAACGAAAACGGAGTAGCCGCTTGTTCTCTCGCCACGGTTGGAGGTGATAAGCCACTTGAGTTCTTTAGCCAAAAAAAACAAAGAATGTTATTGAGTTAGAAACATTGCGACAGTAGGTACAAATAGTTTAACCCGTGAAATAACTTGAACTTCTTGTTACATAACTTGGGCGGAGCCATTGAATATCACGTTTGTGAGCTTAATGCGCGTGCAATATATCTCAAGCGATCTAATAAAGAATATCCAAGGTCGCACATTTCGTAAACTCAAGAAATAAACGTGGTTTCTGGAATTCTTCGACGTCACTTAACTTTGATAGTCTCAAGAAGTTCTAAAGAACATCTATGAAAATTTGGCTAAATATTTCTCACTGCCGGCCATTTGATCCATTCAAGACCGGACTTGGCTTCGATCATGTGGCCACAGCAATAATTAGTAGTAATAATGATGATGGACTGACAAAGAAAATTGATGGTATTGAGATATCGTCGGTGACTCAAATCATATTACTGGATAATAAAATTGATTGAAGAAGGTTAGAAGAAGGCAACTATTTTGGTTGAAATAGTCTGTACGTGTGGTCTGAATTTAGGAGTGCCTGATCAAGGAATGGAATAAGGACGACAACGGTGCCATCAAGCACTTTTGAAGTGTCAAATATCAATGGATAGCTCAGTTTTATCGCTCTTGATGATTGAAATAAACGTATTAGATAGAATTTCTCAATGCAAGCTGATCTGCGCAGTAATTTTATTTCTCTTTATGCATCTGATGAGGGAAAATATTTTTCTGGGGGTCAGAGATGTACCATGCAATTACTAATCTTAACATTCTAACCAACAAGAGAAAAAAAAAACTGTAATAGCTCTGAGGATTAACTGACATTTTTACCATTTAATCTTGAATCTCATTAATAACTTGTCCAAAATTCTTACTCTTCACCATACGCAATACTCACGCACTTGCACTAGGAGGTCAATGGTGAACTCTGCAACTACTACGAAGCTCGACATTTTAGTTAACAGGAAAATCATAATTTTATTTTGTTTCACAGCTCTGAAGATTAATTAGCTAAAATGTCACCATTAAATAACGGATGCCATGATAAAACATGATGGATACTGTGTGAGATACAGTATCAGGAAGCTACTGAGATACGGATGCAAGTGCGTGTTGAGCTATCTCCTTCATTAATCGTAATCTCTGATCTTCTTTCCATTCTAATTCCGCCTTAGCCATCTTGAATGAAGATAACACGACTATTTAGAATAGGTTCTCTTCCTACGTCCATGACTCAAGTGAAAGATATCCCCAGAAGAAAAATCAAGCTCATTGAATACTTTGACATAAAACAGTTAATTGGTACATGTTGTACATTAATTTATCGATTTATGATGTGATTGCTTAGGCCTCTGCATTTTATGCCCTGATCTGCTGTGATATCAGTATGCCACTAACATTATATACAGTCACAAGGTATATGCGCTTTCGCTTTTTCAAAAGTAATAATGAAATGGAGAGGATTGAGGGTTCTTTTGAAACAACGCACCGAACGAAAACTCTCTAGAAACAAAGAGAAGATCTCTCGCATCTTATGGCATCTGCTCGATGGCAGATAGGGGAAGACATGGTGTTAAAGTAATTAATTTGTAATTGGTTTGAAACGTATCACAAATTCTGCCTCTAATTATACAAAGTTCGCGCCAAAAAAATTGTTGCTATCCAGTTATGAATCTCAACTTTCATTTCCACGGAAGAGTGGTGTCTGTTCAAACAATACGTCAGTTCCCCCTGCTAACGTTTTTCATCCAGGATCTTAGGGTCATTATAGATTGAATGGACAGCTGTGTCTCTCCTGCCCATTGTATTAAGGTACTGTATCAGAAAGAAAATATTTCCATGTCAATATTCATAGTTATTCGTGCGACTGACAAAATGAAAGTTATCACTTTTAGGCCTCTAATGTGATGAAAAATTGTACTTTAAAACACCTCTAAAAATCTTTATTTAACCTTATTTCGTGGCTCTTCGGCCAGACTACATGAAACCGAAGTCTTAATAATTTGTCGTCTCCTATTCCGGTAGATGAAAGATTAACGCCATTTTCACCATTTAACCACAAATCCCATCACTGAAGTGGAAACCTATCACAAATTCTGCCAGAACGCTACACGCAATTCTCACGAACTCGAAATTGTTATCCAGTTAAGTATATTATCCTTCCAACAAAACAAAAGTTTCCCTTGCTTACGTTTAAGAGTGGAACCTTTTCGGTAAAATCCTATAAGGTATATTTTGTGCAATTTTAACTGCATTTGGAACTTTCTAGGCATAACTTACCAAGGATTGGCCGCAACGGTAATTAATTTAACAAGTCACTCTCGACGGAAATTCTCGAAAAGATTAATACAATTAAAGTTGTGCCTGGCGATAACGGAAGTACTCCCTCAACTTAAAGAGGCATTGATGCATATAAAATGTGCGTACGCAACTCTGTCAGCTTCTTATAACTCAGCAGAAGGTTGAGTGTAATCACCATTATGCATTTTTTGTCAGTGTTTCTAGGTGGTAGCGCATGCAACACCAAAAGAATGACAATAAGAGGTATCCAACAAGGAACGGGTATGTGAAATCTGCCTCTTTGATGAACAATCGCATCTCAAAGAGACTTTCGTGGAAAGCTGAATCAGTTCTTAGATCCAATGCTTACCGTCTCGAATATAGGACGTTTTGCACATCTATATCATTTAACCCTAATTTCTAACCCATGGAGTTTGTATGCGATTCTTAAGCTTGAAAACAGCAAGAACTTTCGAAAAGTCCACTCTGTATTATCAAACGTAACGTACTGTTACAAACGCTCAATTTTTTGCATTTCACTTTGTGCAAAATCCGGATTTCAAAATCTACATCGAGTTTTCCCGATCGAAAGCACTAATACCTTGTTAAGTTCTGTCGGTTGTTTATTTCATTCTGTAACGTGCGTGACACTGAATATTAAATATCATAGCTTGAATGACTTCACTTCGCACAATTTCTTCTTCTCTTCAGGT